AGGCTGGGGCTGCCCCCCCAGCGCTTGCGCCAGCCAGTGAACGAGCACGCCGGGGAATGTGTGGGGTTACCTGCTATTAACAGCTTAATGAAAGGGGTTTTCAAACAAACACAACTCCCCCAACCCCATCGCCTATCAGTAAGTTTACATCATTGCCATTTTCGCATCCAGACACGTGCTTAGCAACTCATGCGAAATAAATGGTTTATCAAGACACCAACATTTTTTGAGAAAAAGAAGTTGCTTTCTTAGAGTCACTCTTTGCCCAGGAAACATTCCCTTTTATGTAAATGGTCCGCCTTCCGGATCTGAATCTGCATGATCTTGCATTCTTTTATAGTACGTGTTCTCTAATTGCATGCCATTTGATTTACTGGCTGATGACTATCATTAATTATTCTGAATCCCAGATGATGGCTAGTATGCAGTCTATTTCACATGTCCTGCACTGATTTAGCAATCCGTAAGATTATACATTACTAAATAAAACACCTCATGGCCTTGCCAAGAACTTTGTATCAACTGTTAGAGACTTCCTTACTGAAGAGGAGGGTCTACAGCTGATTGTGAATACCACATGCTTAAATTGTGTGGATTGCAAATACCACACCAAAACACTTAAAGACTGTTCCACAGTATTTTACAGATGGGAAACTTGAAATTACTTGCTAAATAAGACACTGTGAAGTGGTAACATACCCAGAAATTTAGCTACTGTCAGTCTAGTAATGATGCTTAGTTTGGACAATACAAGCAACAGAAATCTGTATAATAAAAGATACGTACCAGCCATAAAAATTTCTGGTTAACTTTGAAGATCTAAGCTCAAGGTAGCTCAAGTTACATAATCAAAGACCACAATTGTGGTGTTCCTGATTTCAGCCTTTAGCCCTCAGTTTCTGGGCGTGTTTTGCTAAATCTAAGCTATCTAGGAATGATACGTGTTTAATACACTAAGTCACCTAGGCCGCCCATTCAGCGTATTACATAAAGTGACTGTTCCTCAGATGTCTGTGCCCATTCACAGTTAACAGAGCACCTCTACCCTTATAATTGTCATTAGGAAACTACAGAAATCATGTAAAAATATTGAAGTAAGAGCTTTAGACCTCTTTTTAAAGACATGTATTTTGTCCAAGACAGCTACAACTTCTGATTTTCAGCTGCTTTTATATAATCCATTTTTTTCCAGAGATGCCAAGAGACAGAAGAGAACCTGCACTCACAACCAGAACACTCTGAGCACCATTAACGGTACTTTAAAATAAAAGAGTTTGAAAGCTTGTCAGTAAATTCTCTAAACTAAGACCAGCATACTTCATTCAGAAAGGAAGAAAGTGCATTGGAAAAATTTTCCTCTAAGAGAACAGACAGAAACATCGCCAGGAGAGAAGGTAAGCAAAGGAGCAAGCAAAGTTAAGCACATCTTTCTAGCAGCTAAATCCCTGCTCTTTTCTGTGGAGGCAACATGATGGCATGTGAACGATTCAGGCTTGCCATTCAAAGTATAGCAATCCCTGTGAAGTTAGTTGTATTGAAATAGTACTGAAGACACTAGTGAGCAAAGCAATACATTAGTGATGTCAAGTTAAGGGAGGTGATGCTTGTGTCACTGCCATAGCTCGAGTACCTGTTACCGCCTTAACTCTCCCAGCTGTTCAACTGAGTTAGGATACAAACTGAAAAAACGCAACGGTGTATGTAGCATAGCTGGTAACGTTGCTCCGACTTTTCAGAAAACTAGTATTAGAGCTAGTACGGCAGATAAAGCATTGACCAGTACAGAATCTGAGAGGGGGGAAAAAAAAGGTTTGAATCAATGAAATAGTTTTCCCAATAATCTAAGAACACTTATAGCACTCTTACAAGCCTACCATCATATGTTCAAAACACTGATTCATCTTCACATCTCTGGAACATGCCAGCAAATCTTTTCACTGAAGTCTTCAGAAAGGTGATGAAAAGGAACAGGCATGAAGCAGTCATGGTGGCGCTAGTGTTAGAATGCAAGACTGCTGACATCCAAATGTGAGGGTTTTTATTCTAGGTAACTCAAGTTATTCTAACAGGACCTCAGAAAATAAAAATATTATTGAACAAGATGTTCTGGGCAGGGCCACAGAAACAAAAATTTTCTGAAAAACCAGGCACCTTCTCAGCAGACACAAACAGCATAATGGCAAGGGAGTATATAAAACAAGGGTCTACGACTCAGACATGGCAGGCCTAGTTTAAAAGCAAAAACCAATACCTTCCCCCCACCCCAAGGGCCCAAAACATTACTTGGTGAGGGCACTATAGATATTGGGGTTCCACAATATTCACTTGTAATTCCTCTATTTTCTTCAGTCAGAGCCAGGATTATGACTCATGGCCTTCCACAGACTAAAAAAAAAGGACAAAACCTTGCATGGACAGTGGTTTTAGGAAACATGACATGGGGCATGTACTTCTGTTATCACGTGCACTCACACTGTAACGATGGTGAACAGGTCATACTAGGCAGCCCAATGGTTACACCAAACGTCACCTATGCTCATTCCAACAGCGGCCGAACTGCACCCTGACTGCTTGGCAATTGCTTCTTTTTGAATTACCATTATAAGGCCCGGAGAATTAGATGCATCACAGTAAGAACTGAATGTTAAATGCAAGACTCCCAAGGTATTATTAAAAAAATTCCTGTATAAACAGGATCTGAAGTATTAAAATCGCCAAGAAAATCTGGTTTGCAAAACAGTCTTTTATTGTATCCGTGCCACACATACTAGTGAAAAATAACACTCCTAAAAAAGGAAAAGAAAAAGAATGCTACCTTTCCACAACATTTCTTTTAAATAAAACTTCAAGTACTCTTACATTAGTACAAAAAAAATTCTGATCTACCTGCCCCAAGAGGCCACCACAACACACAGTAGATAAAACACAGTGGTTACAAATGTCTTTTGTTACTTCTGTGGCAAGGCAAATGGAGGGAAATGTTTCTATGAAAAAATACTGTGTGCGTAGGAAATCGTCACCATTTTATTCCACATGGATACAAATGATTTATACTTGAATTTGAGGCCGTGGTGGCTTGAAATTATATAACAAAATAGAAAAATGGAAAACTAATATCCCCTACACCCTGTTTTAAAGGCAGGCACTACCAAGATTAAGGAGACTCCACAGTGTTGGTAGAGGATAATTACTGTACAAGCCATATAGCTATAATTACCTTAAGACTAAAATAAAATGCTACCGTCCTCCTAAGGCATAAACAATAATGGCTGCAAACAATATGTACACATCATACATATTTAAAACAAGACTTAATATAAACAATAATGAACATTATATATACATGTCTCAATTTTTCTTCACTGTCTTGAAATACAATTTAACTACACAAGTGATGCAGCAACATATATATAAATGTACTTGTAACTCTACAGTAAAGTTTAATTTTTAGTGCTTTTACAGCACATCAGTGTAAACAGTTTTACTTGGCTTTGTTTTATATTTTAAAACATTCCTTGTTGTATTTTCAAGATTTAAAGCAATTTTCTAATTCTTCCTTTTCACAGAAAACGAAGATTCTGAATGCTGTATAATCATAAATAATTCATAAAATTAAATACATTCACTAAAAAATAAACTACAAAGTAAAAAAATGAAAAATAGATATTTATTGAAAGGGAAAAGAGAACCATTTCCCCCGAGTAGAGCTCTGGTGGTTGAATATTCAGTGCGTTTTGATATACTTTAAATTGCTATTGCACTATAACACCCCTTTCTTTGAAATTCTTTGGGTGTGCTTCCCTGTTCTACCTAAATTAGTTTGTTAAAACACACAAACCAATAACCAAGGGGCCATGGTTGCTGTAGGAGTGAAGCCTTTAGAACTAGTATCACAACTCCGTGATATTTTAAAGGAAGAAACCAGTCATTAGTTATGCATGTGCCTTGCACTTTCACGTAAATACAGTTCACATTGCTGGTCTTATCAGTCCTCATTTAATGGAAAAAAAAAAAAAAAAAAGGAAAAAAAAACACCAGAAAAAATGAGTTCTGGTAACTTCAGCTCACTTTGAAAATCTCTGTCCATTTTTTTTCAAAATACTTCCTCA